TTTTTTTTGTTTAAGTGAAAAATAAGGCTCCTTTTGGTCATCAGGTCCTAGATTAGACCAGCAGTTTTCAAAGAATGGTCCATGAACCCCCTGGAAGTTCTTGAGAACCTTTCCAGGATCTGTGAGATAAATCATCTCTATTATTATGAAGATAGTTTTTAATCTTTTTCACTCAAAAATAGCTGAAACTATAAATGCCCGCTTCTCACAAATCTGTTTTAGAGTATATGGATATTTTCTTTAAGATGTTATTTGTGTGAGCATGTAATGGACCAGTTAGGGGTTTTTTTAGTATTTTTAAGCTTTTTCAGCTTTATTATTTAATATGGCAAATACAGATAGACATAAAATGCATCAACAAAAACCCAATGGCATCCATATCCCAGATATATTTTCAGAGTGTAAAGGGTTCTGGGGGTGCCAAGGACAGAAAATGGGCCAGGAGACTGTTTTATATTTTAAGCACCTCATACTGGACTTGGGGCTGCCTATACAAATGAACTGCTGTGTCAGAATAAATGTCGACCTTTGAGGCCAAAAGCTTAAACTGATGAGTTTAAGCTGTTGGCCAAAGAATGCTCTATCCCTGGAAAGGAACTGCTGGGTCCCAGGTCCCAGGAGCACGCCCATACAGACAGGCTCAATGAAATTCCACTCCCTCAGGAACTATCCTCTTAGAGTTTGGTTGCCATGATTTGGTTTGGATTGTACATGTTTAAAAACCCTTTTGCTATCCCATCTGACTTTGTAAACAGTTTCTTAACACGTGTTATAATTAAAGGGGCTTCTGTGGAATAATATCAACATATATTTTTATGTGTTTCCCTTTCTTACCTGATTGACATTATATTCACTTTTAATCATTTCTAATAAAAGCTTATTTTGCAGCATATATTTACTATCTTGCTTAAGCAGTGACTAAAATAAATCAGCCAGTTTGCTTTTCAATGACGTGGGTTCAGCGGCCTTCTAGTGCAATGTTCTCCAAACTCTCACAGGAAGTGCTGGTGTCTGGAACCTGACAACTGGCACTTTCTGCACCTGCCCCCACGCCCACTTTGAATGCCACAATGAATTCTATCCGCTTTAAGTAAAATATCTCTTTTGGTAGTATTAACTAGTACACATACCAGTGCCGTGTTTGATTGTTATGGTGACTTCAAGACTGAGCTGATACAGTAACAGTGGAGGCGGCTTTCACTTGGTTCTGTGTAAATAGCGTGTGTTTTATTATATTATGTCACCTTTTTAAACTGTTTACATTAAATTATGGTATTTAACGTTTTATGTTTATACTAGGTAAGGTTTTCTTATGTTTCTGTGGTTTTGGTATGCTAAATAAAGCTATTTTTAAACCCAAGCGATTCTTCTGTTAGTTCAATGAAGATCAGGTGGTAAACAGGCCGCATGAGCTGTTTACAGGAATATGAGTAGTTATGTGGTCTTATGTTTCAACTTCCTGAAATTCCAGCTCAAAGAGCTTGCCTTATGACACCTTTCTTAGAATGTTACAACTCTAGTTGGAGGCATCTACTTGGAGGGTGTTTTTCAAAAACAAAGGCAAACACATGAGCTGCTACCACCTGAATGAGACGCAACAGGATGAGCAAGAGACAAACTGAAATGCCTGAGAAATGAAGAACAGCTTCACACAGAAAAGCAACCAAGCAGTCCTAGAGTCTAGACGTACAAGCCAGATGTGGCACTGGGCTGACGCTCCAAAAAATGAAAAGGCCCTATCCTCTCACCTTTGACCTTCAGGTTATACATGAGCAGGAAGTAAAGGTCAGAGTAGTCTCATCCTATCTGGGTGGGAGTTGAATGTTTGCACACACACACACACACACACACACACACACAGCACAAGAGCCAAGGCCCGGATCATTTATTTTTTGCAGGGACAGGATGGCCTGGGGGTTTAAGATACAAGTCTATCGAGTCACTAACCAAATACAAGACGACCAGTGGCCACACATGACTAAGGATATAAACTTCACAAAGCAAGTTTAAATTGCCACTAAACCAACAAGCAATAAGAAAGAAAGCAAACAAAAGTCCCTAAGGAGGGGCCAAAATCTAATTTCCAGGGTTGCAATATAGTAATTCATAGTCTTACCAACTTGTGCCCAGTTCCAGCATCTGGGTAGCATGAGTAGAGCACCCAGGAAGGTGCAGCCCATACTTCAAGCCTCTACTTAGGCAGGGAAGCAATCAGAAGGCCCATCCAGTTCCCAGTGACACAGCCCTTGACCTTAAAGTGCAGGCAGTGACCTTACCCAGTAGACCCTGATGGAAAGTTCCACCTGCGCAAGGACATGAAACGCGTAAAACACAAACAGCGGACTGGCAAAGTGCTGTTTGCCAAAGTAAACCTGTAGTGTCAGGAAGAGGAGACAATGTACCGAATGCAAACATGCCAAAGTCCGGAACTTCGGACCCTAAAAGAGCAGGTAAATAGATTACTACCAACAAAACTAGTAGAACTGTAATAATTAACCCTGACAAAACCCAGATGTAGGTGGAGGGGCTCAAGATGGCAGAGAAGAGAGATCCTGGTCTTACTTCCTCTCCACAGACACAACAAACCTGCATCTCTATAGGAACACCGCCTTTGAAAAATTATGAAGATTGGAGAATCAGTTTGTGTAGGAAAATAGAAGCCATGGGAAAGTACAGGAAAGGTTGAGACAGCTGCATCAGGAATGCCACCAGACACCATGACCCAGGATTGGAAGGACTTCAGTGATACTCTCCAGGTAAAGGAAGGTATTACTTCACACATCCAGTGTTCAAGCCATCTAGGAACTGCACCAGAGAGGAGAGGACCCACATTCAGGTGTAGAAAACAGGGGTCTCCTCTGGAGAAGAGTCTGGAGAGCAGAGAACCTAGGCTGAACACAATGGTATTGGTATTTGTTGTTCATCGAACTTCAACTGGAGTAATGGGAAGAGGAAGTCTCCCAGAGTGGAGGTGCTACTGGGTGTGGTCTTTGGGCTCTTATTTCTATGTGGTATAGGGGCGGCCAGTGCCTTACTGATTGAAATCAATAAGGGAGCCAGAGTTGGAGAGCAAAATACCTCACCCCTTCACCACAGACAGTGGTTTTTATGGTGTCCAGAGAGTTCCTGTGACTACTGGAACAATACTCATCCACAGGAACTGCCTACAGCTTGAGCTCATAGTCCTGGGTCATAGCAGTTGAAGCCTCTGAGGAAAATTGTGGGCCCGGCTAGGAGAAGACTGAAGTCAGGGCTCCCTCCTGGAACTGTAGCCCCAACAGAGGCTAGCACCAGGGATTTTCCTGCAGCAATTTCCCAGGAGTCCTGTCAACTTTCCACCCAGCCCCCACCTGAGGTCGCAGACTTCAAGGCAAATCTAGCCACTACTGGGGCTGCATTCTCTCACACAGTAAATGCTGTAGGCAGAGCCAGCTGCCTTCCAACCATTCAGCTCTTGCCTGTGCCTCTGGGAGAAAACTGCTTGCAGAACCGGCTATCAGAGGTAGCCTGAAGCGCAACAGTCAGTTCCAGCCTGTAGCTACAGAGAAAATGCCACCTTTGAAATGTGCCTTCAGCTGGGCTTGGTGGCAGATCCCTTCTTTGGTTCAAATAGCTCAAGCCCCTAGGGAGGCTTATGCCCTTGGCAATCTATAGAAGCAGCCTCCTCGCCTCCCACCACCTGCCTTCCCAAACTACTGGCTGGTTTCTCTGGCCACCAAACTACAATGACTTGTGATCTCCAGT